GCTTTCGGTGTGTCTCATGCGAGACTAGCCCGTGTCCGAAACGTAACTCCCCAGGCGGGTTGGTATTTTATTACGCTATTCCACAGGGCTCCCTTGTGTCAGCTGGTTTCCAACTGGATGCAGCATCCAGGGCCGCCTGGAACGAGAAAATGAACCTGTCCTCTCTCAGGGTCCCCTTGTGGCCTGGGACGGGTCCCCTGTCTGTGCTTGCCATGCACATGATTGGGGATGGGTGTCGGTTGGAGACCCACCTAGCTGACAAGGGGCCTGGGGAGGAACTGAGTGTGATGTGTGGGTTCTGCTCTGAAGCGTCTGCCAAGCCTGGAGGTTCGTTTCTCCTGAAGACTTGGGCGGGGCCCTGGACTGGGGCAGTGCAGTGCCCTAGATGGGCCTGGGACAGCTGAGTCCCAGGCCAGGGAGTTGTGTCCTAGGGTGCAGTACTGGCGCTTGGCCACAAGGGGGCGGGGCTTCCAGGAGCATNTATTGATGGTGTCAGTGGATGCTGGAGTTGAAGGTTTTTAGAGGGACGAGAGGAAACCGTTGCGTGTCCCTGGAGTGTGAAGGGGTAGGCCTGGGAGTCGTTTGTGAGCAGTTACGAGTTCCNACGCGTGGTCCCGCTGTATGTTTTGGCCGCCAGGGTCGGGGCCTCCTTTGACAGCTTGGGGCTGGCCTTAAAACGGAAGAGAACTCTGGCCTTGACTGGGAGTCAGGCNGGTGACGAGTTCCGTTTAAGTTTCGAAACAGGCCCAAGGCCTGAACTGAAGGGGGTCCCGGAGCCTTCCCCCCTCAAGCAGGCCACGGGAGCCAGAGNGAGGCAACTGATTCTGAATCGTCCCGAGTTAGGTTTCACTGGGAATGAACCTGTCCTCTCTGAAGGACCCAGGGGCGCTTGAGCTCTTGTATAATANAGTTACGAGTTCCGTTTAAGTTTCGAAACAGGCCCAAGGCCTGAACTGAAGGGAGTCCCGGAGCCTTCCCCCCTCAAGCAGGCCACGGGAGCCAGAGGCTGCCGCTCTTGGACTGTGTTGTCTGGGGCCCGGTGTGACTGCCCTTCTTTAATTCGAAGCCACACGGCTGCTTGGCTGTGTGCTCTCTAAGCCACTCACCGCCGTTCCGGGCTCTGTGAGTAGCTTCTGGTGTGTCTCATGTGTGCCTAGCCCGTGTCGGAAACCTAACTTCCCAGGCGGGGTTGAGGTTTTCTTAAGCTCTTCCACACGGCTGCCTTGTGTCAGCTGGATTCCAAGTGGATGCAGCATCCTGGGCCTCCTGGAGGGAGAAAACGAACCTGTCCTCTCAGAGTCCCATGCGCCTGGGACGGGGCCCTGTCTCTGTGCTTGCCATGGGCATGATTGGGGGTGGGTGGGGGTTGGAGACACGCCTAGCTGACAGGGGACCTGGGGAGGAACTGAGTGTGATGTGTGGGTTCTGCTCTGAAACGTCCGCCGAGCCTGGAGGGACGTTTCTCTTGAGGACTTGGGCGTGGCCCTGGACTGGGGCAGTGCAGTGCCCTAGATGGGGCTGGACAGCTGTGAGTCCCAGGCCAGGGAGCAGTGTCCTGGGGTGCAGTACTGGCGCTTGGCCACAAGGGGGCGGGGCTTCCAGGAGCATGTGTGCTGGCCTTCTGGCTGGGTAAGAGGTGACAGGTGGGCCGGGCCCCTGTGGCCTGTGGCCCGGCTTTCTGCTTTGGCCGCCGGCGTCGGGGCCTCCTTTGACAGCTTGGGGCTGGCCTTATCAACGGAAGAGAACTGTGGACTTGACTGGGAGTGAGGCAAACGATTCTGAATCGTCCCAAGTTAGGTTTCACTGGGGACGAACCTGTCCTCTCTGAAGGATGCAGGGGCGCCTGGGCTCTTGGGTAATATTTCCAGATGCCAGGCTTTCCATTTTGTGGTGGGGGGGGTCCCATATCTGTACCTACCTTAGTGGAAGGCGGGACGTGAGGCCTGGCTGGCTGGCTGGCTGACAGACAAGGGGTCAGGGAGGTGATTGGGCTTGATATGCTGGTTCTGCTCTGAAGCTCCCAGTGAACCTGGAGGAGCACTTTCTCCTGGGGACGTCGAAGGAAGGGCAAGGCCAACGCACTGGCAGCCCAGAGCCCTAGGTGGGCCTGGAGCACCAGTTAACCAGCAGACTGGGAAATCACGGCTGGGGTGCATTTTCCCACCGTGGCCACAAGAGGGCGACAGCTGCCAGGAAAATGCTTCCCATCCGGCTTCCTGGTCAATAGGTCAGAGACCTGAGGGGCACCAGTTCTCCCCGCGATGCCCTTGTCAGGGCCTCTGGCAGCTCAGACTTGTCTCCTGAAGGGAAAACAACTCTTGCCTCGAGTGGGCCTCAGCCAGGGGCCCATTTCATCCCTTCGCTGGGGTTGCAGGAGGCAGCGTGAGGGCCAAGGTGTGGCCTGCTGGCCTTTTGTCAGTTTGGTGGTGTTAGGCCACAAGGTTGAGCTGCAACACAGATGAACATGCATGTGTTTGTGTACGCGTATAAATGCACGTGTACGTTTGTTGCATGGAAGGCAGAAGTGGGTTATTGGTAATGAAAGGGCTAAGTACCCTGCGATTCTGCACAGGGTGCCCCGACTAGGACACGGGAGGAGCCCAGACTGTGCAGCAGGTCTGTGTCTCTGAGTGGATTAGGCCTCCGTGGGGCTGGCCCGGGGTGTGGGGGCCGCCGTGGGATTTGCTCCCACAGGCGAGTTCCACCTCAGTCCCAGCGTGGGCCTCTCAGCGGGGCCTGTCCGAGGCACCCTGCAGACAGAAGTCCTTGCTCGTGATCACATCATCGTGAGTCTGGATACCCAAACGCCCCGAGACTTGAACAGCCAGTTGTGGCTGATCTTACCGTCCGTTCCTGGGAGGTGGTGGGTGTTTTTGAAACAGCGGTTCCCGGTGCATTGATGGGGGTCGGTGGATGCTGGAGTTGAAGGTTTTTAGAGGGACGAGAGGGAACCGTTCCTGTGTCCCTGGAGTGTGAAGGGAAAGGGTGGGGATTCGTTTTTGAGCGGTTACAAATTCGGTTTCAGTTTCTGAACAGGCCCAAGGCCTGAACTGAAGGGGGTCCCGGAGCCTTACCCCCTCGAGTAGGCCATGGGGGCTGCCCCTCTCAGACCGTGTTGTCTGGGGCCCGGTGTGACTGCCCTTCTTTAATTCGCAGCCACACGGCTGCTTGGCTGTGTGATCTCTAAGCCACTCACCGCCATTCCGGGCTGTGTGGGTAGCTGTCGGTGTGTCTCATGCGTGCCTAGCCTGTTTCCGAAACCTAACTTCCCAGGCGGGGTTGGCGTTTTCTTAAGCTCTTCCACACGGCTGCCTTTTGTCAGCTGGTTTCCAACTGGATGCATCATCCAGGGACGCCTGGAGGGAGAAAACGAACCTGTCCACTTTCAGGTTCCCTGTGCAGCCTGGGCCGGTTCCCCGTCTCTGTGCTTGCCATCGGCATGATTGGGGGTCGGTGGGGGGGGGGAGATACAC